ACACACACACACGTACACACTCACTGACACTGATATCGCTGACATGATACACAATCTCATCCATTGCTAATGTCAGAAACAATTGTTCTTGTTTTATTACAGTTTATTTTACTTTCTGTTCAGTAAAATTTGTCAAAGAGAAAAGCAGATGTTGTCTCAGTATTGAAGGTGTTTGAGAGTTCAGTAATAAAAATACAGTGTCTTATAGTAGGATATATAGCACTGGGTTAGCTTCTCACTCTAAATATCCTCTCTGCATAGGGTTGCTTATAATGCTGCTATATGTGTTTCAGCTCAGTGGGTTGAGTCAAGCCTGCTTCAGATCACACAACTTGCAAAATCTAAGAATTGCTGTTGCCTTTTGAAAAGCTGCGACTGATTGTGATACTTAACAAAAACACACACGTCCCTATGAGGCAGACTGTGACGCAATCTGTCCCAGACACTAAACTAATTATCAGAAAGATTTGGAAAACAATATTCTAAACTGCTCACAGTATCTGATTGTACCAGCAAACATGCGGTGGAGAGTTGTAGGTTGTATTTTGGTGAACTCGAACTTGACACTGTGACACCAAAATCCCATAACCTCCTACATGGAAAGATGACTTCACAACTCTACCTCATAGACAAGCTACTTGACTCTTGTTACTAACCTTAAATGGACTCTGTGTGTGTGTTGTCCAGGTGATGAGTCTGGTGTCAGGCTTCGGTCCTCTGATCTCTGCAGGGATTTTTTCAGCCACTTTGTCCTCGGCTCTGGCCTCGCTGGTCAGCGCGCCCAAGGTCTTCCAGGTCAGAAATACAAATGTCATTTTATTTTATCTTATTTATTACTAGATAACCAACATTTACACAGACACAAGTAGTGTATTTGACAATAATCAGGAGTAATGAATGTGTATTCATGTGAATGGTAAAACAAAACAATGACTAAAAAGAAATACAAAAAACCCTGAACTCAAGTTCTACTTACTAGCTTTTTTCATAGCTTTGAATTGCTCACTTGTCAAAGAGATGGCTCGGTTGGCATCACTGATGAAGTGACCATAATGTGGTTGTAAGTGCATGAAGAAGCTAGTAAGTGAACCTTGATATAAGGTTTTTTCTTTTTTTTTGTGAAATGTCAATTTCCAAGATCAAGGATTCAATTTTACACTCTCACTTCACTCAAAATGTGTATCATGTAGAATCAGCTTTAGAAGTACATAGGCCTGTATTGTCATGCCGAGCCAGATCCATGCAGGCCTGAACTCGATCCAACAATTTTTTTTGGCCAGTTTTAATTTAATGTAATTTTAATGTCAGATCTCTCTCTCTGAACAGCTTCATAAACAAAATGAACAAATGAATAAAAGCTGCTGTGATTCTAGGCTCTGTGTAAGGACAACATCTACCCAGGGCTGGGTGTGTTTGCAAAGGGTTATGGGAAGAACAACGAGCCTCTCCGTGGTTACGTCCTGACCTTCTGCATCGGCCTAGCCTTCATCCTCATCGGTAGGCTGCTGTGTGTTGCTGCTCCATCACAAACACAAACTTTCTTTTTTACTCTGATGCAACTGAATAACAAACTGCATAAGCATTTGGTCTTGAATGTTGAACCTCTCTGTTGTTGTTTGCCAGCGGAGTTGAACATTATTGCTCCCATCATCTCCAACTTCTTCCTGGCCTCGTACGCTCTCATTAACTTCTCTGTCTTCCACGCCTCCCTGGCCAACTCTCCGGGTAAATACTGACAAACTGAACTCTATAGCGTCACACTAGTCTAAATTTATGGTGAGACTTGCCTTAAGTTGGGTTCTTGAGACGTTAGAGTTGACTTTGCCTTTTAAGGACCAGTGTGTAGGATTTAGTGGCATCTAGCATTGAAGTGGCATATTATAGCCAACTAAATACCGCTCACCTTCCAAGCGTGTAGGATAAACTACAGTGGCTGCGGAACTCACAAAAAAGTGTCTGGTTTGTCCATTCTGGGCTACTGTAGAACCATGCCATTTCAACATGGCAGCCTAGAAGAGGAGTCACTCCCTCTGTAGATAAAAAGAGCTCAATCTAGGTAATGAAAACACAACATGAAAGTTTTCAGGTGATTATACACTAATGAAAACATACCTATGAAGACTATATTCCATTTCTTCTAATAAATCATCCTAAATGTTACACACTGGACCTTTAAAAAAATTAAAAATGAAGATTAAAAATGTATTTTCTTTGTGGCACTGGACGGTTGTTGATAACGTGATGCCTGTTGCCTTGCCTTCAGAGAATGACAACAACTGCACAAGTCTTTTTTAAAAGTTTTATAAAAATGAGTATGAGTAAAGTATTGATTTCTTACTTGTCAGCTTATTTATACGGCTAGTTTGAACAGGCTTGCAAGGCTAACTGGAAATTGTGTTTAATTCAACCAATGAGATTATTTCTGCCTTCTTCAATGCTTTAGGAAACATTTGCAAAACTAAAACTCTGATTATCCTGATTAATTTTGTCCAGTTTACAAAATATTATCTCTGCTAAAGGTATGGCAATACATTTTTGTATTGTGGTCTGTATTTTCTGTGACACTGGTCACGGTCCTGTGAGCGTGGCTCCTTTTGTTTCATTCTAGTCTCTCATCACAGGGTGGCGCCCCAGCTTCAAGTACTACAACATGTGGGTGTCTCTTGCTGGGGCGATCCTGTGCTGTGTGGTAATGTTTGTCATCAACTGGTGGGCAGCTCTGGTCACTCTGCTCATCGTCCTCGCTCTCTACATCTACGTCAGCTACAAGAAACCAGGTGAGAACATAATAATCTCACATTTTATCTTTTTAATAAAACGGATCACCTACCAACCACGAGAGAGGTCACACTTTATTGAAGTCAATGGGAAAAGCTCCTCACTTATCTGTGCAAAGACAACAATTCGCACAAGAATTTAGGGGATTTAAGGGACATCTATCCCTGTGGTTTCCAACCTTTTTGGCTTGTGACCTTTTTAACAGGGATCCAATACCAGCGCTCTCCTTATCCCATAATTCAAATCTGTGGAACTCGTTGGAATCATGTTTATGTAAGGTATCAGGTCAAATATAGTTTTTTCTACATTTTTAAAATGACATTGACATTGGTCATGTCATGGCACATACCTGATCCTCTTAATAAGGTCAGCTCAAACCTACTCTCTGGCCTGCTATACTTTACTCTGCTTTTTTTTATTCTACTTACCATCATAATCATCTCATTCCACTTAAATTCCCTAATCTACTTTGCTCTAACTGCTGTGTGTGCTGTTTCCTGTAGATGTGAACTGGGGATCATCCACTCAGGCTCTGATCTACAACCAGGCTCTCACTCACTGTCTGAACCTCACTGGAGTCGAGGACCACGTTAAAAACTTCAGGTCAGCTTGAGGGTCAGACTTAGGCTTTGATTCTGGGTTTTATACAAACTCAGACTGCTCATGTTAAAATCTGTATCCATTGATGTTGTTTAATGGGACTTTATGTAAAAGCATCCAGCGAAAAACTAGTAGTAACTACCAGTGGAATAATATTGTAGAAAACTTTGGAGGGGTTTGGAAGGTTTTCAAAGGTAAAAGGACCTTGAACAGCCAACTTCCTCAGTAAACCACAACTTTTCCAGGTTTTGGATCAACATTTTTAATTTGTACAAATGTACAAAATGTGAAAAAAAAATCTGAAAGTAATTTTAAAACTCTGTTTGACGTTTAAGGAAGTGTCTGAGCAACTAAATTCCATGTTTGCAGGCCACAGTGTTTGGTGCTGGCTGGATATCCAAATTCTCGTCCAGCTCTGCTTCAGCTGGTTCATTCTTTCACCAAGAATGTCGGCCTCATGGTTTGCGGTCACATCAGGACTGTACGTACAGATGAACTTAAACCCACTGGAGCTGGATAGAAATTGTGTCCTTCGTTTTCTCCTGCCATCATCTGTGTCTCTCTTCTGTTCAGGTGTCCCGTCGGCCAAACTTTAAGGAGTTGGGCCAGGATCGAGCCCGCTGTCAGCGCTTGCTGAATAAAAAACGCATCAAGGCCTTTTACACTACTGTTTTCGCTGAAAATCTGAGGCATGGGACACAGTTCCTCCTGCAGGTATGGACACACATTGTGTGGTCAGGTCTATCATGTGAAGATTTTTAAAGTGATCACAGTGCAGGAGTGATAGTGGGTTCTCATGCTGTGTTCTTGATTTCATTATTGGTGAATCCATAAACTAAATTATTCCAAACTTTTTATTTTTTTACTTATTTGATCTATTAATTTCTGACCTATTTAGTTTCTGAATGTTAATTGTTCTCACACACAGACACCTGATTTCTATTACAATCTAACTTTCTGTGTCAGAATTACTTTATTTTCCTCCTTGCATCTTGGTTGTTTAAAGGTCCAGTGTATAACATTAAGGAGGATCCATTGGTGGAAATGGAATATTATATTTATAGATATGTTTTTATTAGAGTATAATCACCTGAATATAGGAATAATTGTGTTTTCGTTCCCAAAACAGACAAACCAACTAGATAGGACCGTTCATGTTTTTCACAAGTTTGTAGCCACTGTAGTTTCTCCTATGCGCTTGGAAAGCAAGCGTTAATTAGTTGGTTGCAATCTGCAGCTGCATTACTAAATGCCACTGAATCCTACACACTGGTCCTTTACTCAGTTTATACCATGTTGTCTATTATATTTTGATTGTGTGATTTTTCTTACTTATGTTTCTTTATTGCTGGATAATATAATTGGTTGTATTTTATACCAAACCTCCCTCATTAAAGTCACAATTAATATTGTCACACTCTCTGTTCTCTGCTCTCCAGGCTGTCGGTTTGGGTCGTCTGAAGCCCAACACATTGGTCATGGGTTACAAGAACAACTGGAGTGATGGAGACATGAGAGATGTGGAGATTTACATCAACACTATACAGTAAGGACTGACATGTCTTTTGAAAAGAACTATTAACCTTTTACAATGGTACTATTTTTTATGTTTTTCATTTGGGAAAGACATTTACCTACATTTAGATTCCAGTGGTGGCTTATTTCCAACTCAGGTGATCAAACAATTCAAATAACTAGCCTTTCAATCTGTTTCAGTTGTTGATTTTTTATTCTCTTCTTATTTTATTCCCCCAAAAATAATTAAAATATGTATATATTTATTTATTATCAAAGTTGACGTTTATGTTGTTATAATTTGTGATCATTTTACACTGTGTTATGTATATACATTATATCTATGAAGCAGATTTCTTGTGCAGGACAGTGAAGTTCGGAGCTGAATTATCTGTTCTTTATTCCAGCGACGCCTTTGACCTGCAGTTTGGAGTGGTGATCCTCCGACTGCAGGAGGGACTGGACATCTCTCACATCCCGGGACAGGGTACACTACATCCGTCTTTTTTTGAATATCTTTCCTTCTGCCCACTGCATGGACTGTATCCATCTCCCTTTTGTTTGTCCCTGTAGACGAGCTGCTGTCATCCCACGAGAAGCCACCAGTTAGCACTAAGGAGGTGGTGGTTTCTGTCACCCTGGCTAAAGACTCAGACTCTGACTCCTGTCCTTCAAAAACCACCAGCAACCAGAGCAGCCCGCTCATCATCAGAGGTAAAGGAGGAAGAAGGAGGTTTAGTGATGGTGGCATAGATCGACATGAACAATCGTCTTCTTCTCAGCCTTCACACCCTGAATTACTTTTCCTGCTCTCTCCTTCTCTTTATCCCTGCCAGAGCCTGGCTTAGCAGTCAGACTAGAAACAGGGGCAAACTGCCCGCCGAGCTCCATTAAATTTACTGTAAATCAGGCAGCCTTGAAAGTGTTAGACTTTTAGAGTTTCTCTTTGATTGAACTCAGTTCTGGACAGACAGACATCCATCTTCTAACCTGACATAGAACAAGAGGTTTTGCAGTGTCAGTGTTTCTTTAACTTTACCTTGTGTCATATGTGATGTTATCTGCTACAGAGACCAAGTCTCCTCTGAGTCTGACTGACCAGCGTCTGCTGGAGAGCAGCCAGCAGTTTAAGAAGAAGCAGGGCAAAGGAACCATAGACGTCTGGTGGTTGTTTGATGATGGAGGTCAGTTTTTTTTTTATGTCTGATAAAACAAAGAACTCACTGCACACCGACTTAAAACTTACAGCTTCATCAGGCTGAAGCATACATGACACATGTTTTGAGTTGGTTAAGTTTGCTCATCAATTAAAATCAATCATAGAACTTAGATTGCTCTCTTTAATAATAATAATAATAATGATAATAATAATAATAATAATAGATTCATCACGTCCAGTAACAACCGCAAAGTCAAATAAATATAGGAAAACTTGAGCTGCAACTTCAACAACAAAATTATGCTAATTTCTGTGAGATCAATAATGGATTATATCAGTTTTATTTTTTGTGTATCTTAAGTCACATGACAGGCTTTTCAGTTTCTGTCCTCTGTTGTGCAACTGAACCTTCCTGTTTCAAAAGCAAACCCTTACTACTAGACAATTATTTAAATGTACAGCATGTCATTTCTGCTAGTAGAGGGTCTCTCTCATCCAAACAATAACAAAGTGTGATGACGTTGTGAAGGGGGTTGTCAGGGGTTTTTACCAGGAGCCAGATTGTCCACAGAGGTCTCTTCCTCTCTGAAAGAAACAGACCTGGTGATTAAAACTGGTAGAAACACCAAATAAAGCAGTTTCACCATAAAAATATGTGTTTCTCTGAAACTGTTCAGCAGACATCCAATGACTAAAATCCTTCATCCGGTTAAAATATATAGTTAAAAATGATCAAGAGCTTAAAACTGTATCATAAAAATGTGGCCTAACACTGGATAAAAAGTAAATTTATGATAGCTTTTGGCAGACAACAATGCTGATACATGTACAAAAGTGATATGACACCATCGACAGGCAACTGGTGAAACGCACCGGAATACATTTACTGATTTCTTTGGGTTTTAACATATATCATTTAATATATAATATAGGTCTAGTGTTAATAGACATTTTAATGTGGAAATGTTACATATTATGTCTTTAAGTTGTTATATTCTTATATTCTCTATAATTAAATACAATAAAGTACATCCCCACAGAAGTAACTAACTCTAAACATTTATCAGCAAAGTGTGTGTTTGTTTTTGCAGGTCTTACTCTGCTGATTCCCTTCCTGCTGACTAACAGGAGCAAGTGGGGCGACTGCAGGATCCGCGTCTTCATTGGAGGGAAGATAAACCGCATCGACCACGACCGCCGAGCGTGAGTCATATGAACTATGATCTTAACAACTGCATACAGTGGCAAGAAAAAGTATGTGAACCTTTTGGAATTGTTTTCTGAAATAAATTTGTCATAAAATGTGATCTGAATCTTCAGATAAGTCAAAGGTTTGACACACATAATGTGTCTAAAAATAATAACAGAAAAAAATTCTGATCGTTCATGTCTGTATTGAACACTCAGTCAACAAAATGGCAAAATGGCAGTGGAAAAAGCAAGTGAACCCTTAGAATTAATAAC